TATGATTGGCTGTATATCATTTAGAAAACATGGGCGAGCATGAAATGTAATGTGTATAATGTAATGTCCGTTGCAGATTGCGTGGGATGGAGATATTTCAGCGGAAGTGACGCACCTATGGTGAGTGTTCGGACTCCAATTACAAAATTACCCTTCCTCAATATTTTAAGAATACTTTTTGGTGAAATTGTGAACTGGCGCAAGTTTTTGGTGTCGGCACTGAGTGATACTAGCGGTTTTCCCAACACACGTGTCCAGTTGGACCGCAATCATGTTTATCCTATTAGCCTTTTTGTGAAAGCAGTGGCAAATAACGCAGCCATTAGTAATAATTGGGGGCATAACGACTTTCTCCACTACAATTTTGGCTGCTTCCACGCGTCTCCCCGCACCCTGTTACTCATGTATCCGCTCCTTACCCTTGGGGATCTTATTCTCTTATTCTTATCCCTGAAAGCGTCGAATTCAAAATTACGATTGGTGCCCCATCTGTCACTCTCAGATGACGTGTAAAAGCCCTTGTGGACTCTTTTTAAAAACATTTATTACGGAAATCTCAAGAGATGAAAATGAAGATAACTGTGTAAACAAAATGATATTGCTAAATAGTACTTTTCTAGTCCTATTTATAAAACAAAATTTTTTTTAAAATTTTATTTAAAAATCACTTTATTAAAATTTTAGTATAAATTATTATTTTATCCTTCATTTATTATAGTGTGAATGATTTTTTTAAAGGTGTATGTATTAAATAAGGATAAAGTTAAGTATTATATTTTAATAAAAAATTAATGCAATTTAAGGTTTTTTTTAGTCTGTATAAAATACATTGAAAGTGTTTTATAAATAGGACTATATAAATAATAAATACTATATGAATAGTATTTTAAGTGATTCCATTAGTTTTTGTTTTTACTGTGGTGATGTCTTGTCTTGTATGTGTGAAGAAACTCAGAGATGAGCTGACTAGAGCGCTTCTAGAGGCAAAGGGTGATAAGGTTAATGAAGGGGAAGCCGACTCATTCAACGAGCTTGTGAATGAGATGGTGTCAAAAGGACAAGACCTTAGGGCATTTGCATTCAAAACCAAAGCCATGGTAAATAAAAATTACTGATTCATTCTGCTTTTTTAACCACTTCCCCTTTATCGGAAATTTCGTTCCTTGTTTGTTTCTATTAGTATCTCTCATTTTGTTTTAGTTTTTGAATGATGGTTGAGTTGAATTTTTGAGATACGTAGATATATTGTATAAATTACGAATTCGTTATTATTTGAAGTCAAACTTCAAGTAAAGTGACGATAACGTGACAAAAATCACGTCATATGCAGGTTATTTCATTTTATAAATAAGTGAAAGAGTACATAAATTTCTTTCAAGTTTTCTTAGAATTGTATATATTAATTGGATATCGTCATTAACTTCACACTTTCTTTCTCTTCATTATATGCAGCTATCACAGATGGAACACAAGGTTCAATCAGCCAGACAGCAAGAATCCGTTTTCTGGCACTTAGCTTCACTTGGTGTCCCCAAAACCCTACACTGTCTCTCTCTCAAGTTAGCTGAAGAATATGCTGTAAATGCCATGGCACGATCTCGTCTCCCTCCTCCTGAATACGTGTCTCGCCTTGTCAGTGAAAGTTTTCACCATCTAGTTCTCATAACTGATAATGTCCTTGCCGCTTCTGTTGTTGTGGCCTCCGTAGTTGAAAATGTAGCCAACCCTGAAAAACTAGTCTTCCACATAGTTACTGACAAGAAAACTTACACTCCAATGCATGCTTGGTTTGCCACCAATACTGTTGAACCAGCAGTTTTGGAAGTTAGGGGATTGCACCAATATGATTGGTCCGAAGAAGTGAATGCAGGTATTAAAGAGATGATGCAAGTTAATCACCACATTGGGAAGCAATTCCACAAGAAGTTTAAAGAAAACGAGATTGGTCATACTGGACAGCAAGGCAAATTCTTGGCAGCTTTAGGGCCAAGCAGCTTTTCCTTGATGAATCATCTTCGAATGTATATCCCTCAGGTAATTAATCATCTTTTTAGTAAACACACGATTTCGTCATTGAAAGATGTCTATTGTTTAATTATGCTTTAATCTTAATTTTTTAATTTATTTTTCGGTACGAATTGATCTCTCAAATTTATAACAGGTTACAAGTCAATAGGCTTAGCTTGTTAATTGTATGTACGCTACTACTGAGTAGCGATAATAAAGATAAAATGGGCAGATATTTTATAAATTATTTATATTTTGTTTTTCGTAAATCCATTCTCTATGATTTTTCATTCTATTGACCCGTGGATTATACCAACGTGACCTCAGGTGTAATAAATTATAAGCAGTCGTATTTTTCAGACATCAAATTAAATACACACATTTGTATGCATCTGTTTCACTAATAGCAAAGTCCGAATGCTAGATGATGGTGGTTTCATATTCTAAATTATGTTTTATTTGGCACAGTTGTTTCCAGATCTCAGCAAGATAGTGTTGTTGGATGACGATGTTGTAGTACAACACGACATCTCTTCTTTGTGGGATCTTGATCTTAGTGGCAAAGTCAGTGGTTCAGTATTCAAGTCGTGGTGTGGAGATGGAGACACCTGTTGCCCTGACAGTAAATATACAAACTACTTCAACTTTTCTCATCCCTTTATATCATCCTACTTTAACCCTCATCAATGTGCTTGGCTCTATGGCGTCAATGTATTTGATCTTCAAGCTTGGAGGAGAACAAATATCACTCAGACCTACCTTCAATGGTTGAAACTTGTGAGTATACTTGATAGCACTTTCTTTTTTCCAGTGAGATTTTCATACTTGAAGACGGAACCATAGACATAAAAGGTCAACTTTGCATTTCTTCTCCAAAAGGTGCCTCATTTCGAACCATGCGCAGCAGATGTTGAAAACAGATATAAAGCCTTCCGACGTAAAAACATTTATAATATTGTTGCTTTTTTAAAAAATCTCTCTCTCTCTCTCTCTCTCTATATATATATATATATATAAAATAAAGAAAAAGCTCCTACAATACCTTTTATAAGCCATCGACGATGCATAACTTAATTCTTAGACACCATACAAGGCACATTACACACATTAGTTTTTGAAATAATAAGTCTCTCTAAAAGCACCGTCCAAACCAGACTAATCTAAGTCCTACCCAGCAAATTAAATCCATTAAAGGAGGCGAAACTGTTCCTAACATTATATTCTCCATTTACAAAACTTCCGTAATTTTTTTTTTTTGGGGGTCTCAGAAAGGATGAATTTTATCAGAATAGGACTTTTGAAAACTGGAGGGATATAAAAAAAAAAAAAATTCAAGAAACAAAATAATACTAAGGTCATCTTTTGAAAACCCAGATGACCAGAACTATTAGAAACAAATTAACTGATGAAGCGAACCAATAAATTACACTTTGTTTGCACATCTTTTCTTACAGAGAACTGTTTTGTGTTTTTGCTGCTCCGTTCTGTTGTCTCGTGACACCGTAATCTGTATGTTATCTATTTTCTCAGAACCTCAAGTCTGGGTTAGCATTATGGAACCCAGGAGTGCTTCCACCGGCCTTGATTGCCTTCCAGGGTCATGTTCATCCCATAGATTCAGCATGGCTTGTGACAGATTTAGGCTATCGCCATCAATCAGAAGAAATCAACATAGAGAGACTGCAATCTGCTGCTGTTATACATTTTAATGGCCCTGCGAAGCCATGGCTTGAAATTGGATTCCCACAATTTCGGAGTTTCTGGAATAGATACGTAAATTCGTCAGATAAGTTTATTCGCAGATGTAGAATCACTTGGTGAAGGCACTAAGTTCTTATACTATCAATATTCATTTTACCCTAAGTTCGCTTTGGTTCAGAAAAGAAATCGCCTATTTGAGTTTCGTCATCGATTTTCAGCGGCAAAACTCAAATTGGCGATACTTTTGCAAGGACCGAGATGTGAACATGGTCATTTAAGACTGAGCAAGATATATATCAGAGGGAAGAAGGTTTGGTCCTTCAGTCTCTGACTTATACGTCCAACACCTAATGATGCAAGTTACTCCGTGTTCATATATAGCAATTTGGATAAGCCACAATATGCAGTCGCTGAAATTAGAGGCACGATAATGAGACAGATATGAGGTTTCTCATTACTGTAAGTTACATCATTGGATATGCTTATCTACATTTTACTTGTATAGCATTCTGGCTTACTTTCTTGATTGAAAATTTTAATTGTTGTACAGATCTTAGACGAATCTTTGAGAAACCCTGGATTAATATTCACCATATATCTTCATAGTTCATCTGATATTTTTTTCTAGAGAGGGTTTTTGGGGTTATGCTGATTCCCATTTCGAACGCGATAAATTCATCTGGAATTAGATCTCAAATTTAACAAATATACAATTATTTATCATTAACTCAGCAAATTTGCAGACAAATGGCTTTGTATTCCAATGTGCAAGAAAAAGTATTGTTGTCGAATGCAACTGATCGGGATGACCAACAAAAAGGGGAGAAAAGGAATGCAACTAATGGGTTGGTCTCTACACTGAGAAGCGTCCCAAGTTTGGCTCATTTTGATTAGTTTGGAATCCGAGTAAGTTCTGTCCCAAAAAAGAAACCTGATGATGTGATATCAACAATCAACACAATTGGGACAAGAGCACAATTAAGGCCGGTGGGAACCACAAAAGAATAGGGCTGAAGATCACATGAAAGAGGAAGTTATTTCCTGCTTTCCGCATAGTTGAAGATATTCAAAACTAGCCGGAAAATATCTGCATCAGACACTGTAGACAACTACAAACTGTTTTGATGCGCAAAAAATATAAATGAATTGAATAAAAATAATTTAAAAAAAAAACTTTACCGATGAACATGCTCATATTTTTTGAAAAGCACTGAAAATGTCTAAAAAAAAAAAACTGTTAAGCATAATTACAACGATAGACAAACAGAAGACACTTTTTTTTGGGGGGGGGGGGTTAAGGGGAATCATTTTCTCGTGAAAAATACCAAGGCTTTGGGCCTAAGCTGCCCCTCGATAATTTTATGACTTGAGCAGCTGACTAAAGGCCACCTAACCAAACACCATTTTCTTGGCCGAGACCGGATGTTCACGACAATGTCTTCGTAGGCTCGTGAAGCAAAGGGGATGCAGTGCATCTATTATATAGATATGCAGGGGAGACAAAATCCTGATTTTGTTATGGGGGGTCTCAACAAGGAAAAGTAATTGCAGTTGTCACCAGATGGAGATCCATGCTCAAATTTTGAATCCATATGGAAGGAGGTCTTTTTTCTGATCTTCAAACATCTATGAAGCTCAAAAACCCCAGGGAGTTCCAAGGGCATAGGCACACCAATGACCAGAGTGATGCTCCAAGGCTAAGTGGATCGTGGATGACCAAGGATGCTGAGATCTTCAAGCAAGCAATCCAGCAGTGTGGTTCAGTTAATATTTCTGTGCAGGGTGATTGGGATAAATAAACACCAGGATATCCCTAGGCAAACGCAGATTTTGTTTCTAAAGGTGAAGGGAAGACTTCATAAGATGCAAGTGATCGCCAAAAACAATTGAAAACAGAACAACAGATGCCAAAAATAAGACTTAAGAAATCAACTTGTTTAAATGCACAAGGATGGATAAAACTAGAATAGGACATAATTTTAAGGATAACTGACTTGTAACGTTAGGAGATATAACTTACAAAGGAATTTCTTAAGAGAAGAATCAACATATGTAAGTCAAAAGGCAGGAGAAAAGCAGTTCTTTAACTTTCCAGTTCACCCTGTATCCAATCTTGTGAACACACCAAGGCTTGAACAGTGGCAGGGTTAAGTGAACTCCAATCACGATCAAGTTCTCTTCCATTATTACTATAGGCCAACTCTGGTGAAACCTTTGACATTGGAACCCCTAATACGTTTCTTGCCATCATGGACAAGACAGGATACCTCGGAGTGTGTACTTTCCACCAGTTTAATATGCTGAAATCAACATTTCGTGGAAAGAGAGGTTCTTCTAAGTATTTTTCTAAATCCGATTTCACATCTTCACCCTGAGAAGTTTCATGGAGGAATTTGTCAAACCCCATCAATCTATCCCTCGAATCCTTACCAGGTAAACAAAGCGTCCCATTCCCAACCTGCCAGGCTAATCCCTGATCATGAGAAGAAGCTAATGGGGAGCAGATTGAGAGCTCATTATACAGGGCCTTCACACCATCAAAGACCTCATCAATGCGACCAGCAGAAGTGCTACCATAGATTTGTGGGTAGTAATACTCTACCAATTTCATCTTGAATCGAGGATCTAACATTGCTGCAACTGCCAAGCCTAAACTGCATTTCTCCCAATATTCATCAAACTTGCTTCTCATCTTTAACGTCAAACCATTAATACATTCATCTGAGGTTTTGCACCATTCCATCAACTGCAACTTTACATCACAAAGCTCAGGGAAGTAAATGTTTGCCGTTGGATACTTGCTCCTTGTGAGAACATTTGTAACATCAGCAAAATATTTCAAGTAACTAGTGACTGCAGTGGCTCTCTCCCACTCTACATTGGAAAGACTGATTCTGTACGCATTGTCATTTTCTTGTAGAAGAGTAAGTACATCCCTGAATTCCAAGGCAGTCTCAAGCATTGAATAGGTGGAATTCCATTGCATTTGATTATCAAGAAATAAATATTTTTTACTCTGGATCCCAACTTCTTTAACCAAGTCATTGAACTTTTCCAATACAGAGTGTGAACTTCTAATATAACGAATACTTTCTCGAACCTTATTGACTATGTCACTTACTGCTCCCAGAGCATCCTGAACCATTATATTAATAACATTTGCAGCACAGCGTATATCAAATAGTTGACCATTACAATAAAGGAACCTATTCTGTGAAAGACGCTCACCAATTCTCTTGGCGATGTTATCATTGGTGGAACAAGTATCCAATGTCATGGAAAATAACTTACGGTCAATATCCCAGTCCATCAGACACGTCGTAATAGCCTCCAAAAGCATGTCTTCAGTATGAGAAGGATCGATCATGATAAAATTTAGGATTCTCTTTCTCAACTGCCATGATTCATCTATGTAATTTGCTGTCAAACACAGATACTCAGTATCACCCATAGCCATCCACACATCAGCACTAAGGCTGATTTTACCAGGTAATTTATCCAACATTTCATTCATCTTCTGTTTCTCTTTCTCATAGAGCTCAATGCAGTCAGCCTCAATGCTATTCACTGTCACAAGGTCAAACAGTGGCTGAAGATTTTTCACAAATACTTTAAAACCAACATGCTCGACCATAGTCAATGGATATCCATGCAAGATAATCATGCGAGCAAGATCCAATTGACTCCGTCTTTGATCAAAGTTCTTGTTTCCATTGCTGAAAATGTCATCTTTCAACTGCTCCTGCTCAAATTTAATGTTCACAAGGCTAAGGTCATCATCCTTTTTCTGATCTTGATCAAAACTGATATTTGATATTGCAAGAGCCCCTTCCTTCCTCTTTTCCCTTGCTGAAATGGATGGTGATATTCCATTGTTAGATCTCCTCAGACACCTGATCAAATGGTTCCTTAAATGAGATGTTCCACTACTACTAGATCCACTCAACCTCTTTTTACAATGCCTACATATAGCCACACAGGCATCGCCTTTTTTAACCCTATCAAAATCATTCCATACAACAGATTTTAGCCGGCTAGATTTGGCTGTTACCGCATCTGACATATCCATTGCATGAACCTGGCACAATACATGCCCATTAAAATTTTCAAATAGTATCCATATTAAGGAATATATAAAGCATATTCATGCAGAGCATCTTTTCTGAGTGCCTAAGTGCATAATACTACAAGTGCAAAGACAATATTGAAGAAGAGGAAGAGAAAAAGAAAGAGAGAAGATTAAATGATTTTATGATGAAATGATATGCAAAATCTAACTCAAGAAGCCTCTCTCAAGACTGAAAAAATACAAGCAAAACTAATCAATCTGTAAACTTCAATTAAGGAACACCAACAATTCCATACCACACACAACCTGCAATAGTACATACTTTAAGTGGAATTTTTTCCCCAAAAAAAAAAAATCACAAACATCTAAGCTTAACATTCCACAAACGTAGAGGAACTTCGAAAACACACTGTCTCCAACATCTAATATTCCAAAATTTGTCCCAGTAAAGAACTTCTCTGAAAAATTTCATAGAGAAAACACAAATTAGCAGTAGCGACTAAATAGCCCATTGTTACACAAAAACAGCTTTTTTTTCTTTAATATAAATCTGCAAGCGGGAAAAAAAAAAGAAAAAGAAAAGTGGCAGCTGCTAGGTCGGTGCTTACTGCTGGGAATTACCAAAAGGGAAGTGGGAAGTGTTAAACTAAACTATAAATGATCATTTCATTATTTCACATAGAAACTACTGTAACAAGTGCAGGACGGATTTTCATGCTGAGTTCAAATCTTCAATGGTTTTCAGTGAGCTCATCGGTCAAAGACCACAACTAGTCCTGGTCATCCCAAAATGAATATAATTCCAAGACTTCAAAACTGCATGCTAACTTACAGGTTCATCCCGTAAGCTAAGAAGCAAGCAACCAAAATAGCGCATCCACAACAAGCAATTCAATGACAAACCTCATATATTCACATTTTTACAAACCAGTATTTTGTAAAAACAAAAACACTGACAAACATTCTATTTACGGTTCTTCAGAGGCAGAATTTTCCGAATCCTAGTCGAGGCTGGGCAATGTCAACCATAAATAAATACAGAAACGATGGCGAATCGACCCCCCCAGGCGCCTCTGGACATAATAGGAGCCATCCAAACCCGCCCGACGGAACCGGCCCGAAACGGGTTGTGAAATCGGGTCAGATGACGAGTAGGTGTGGGTCTCGGATCGGAGTCGAAACACAGACATATATAATCAAAGAGCGGGCAAAACAATGCTAACTACATTCGGACTCGGATCCATGACCGGAATACATAGATTTAAATTCAACAACGGAGATTAAAGGCAATCAAAACAGAATTAAACTAAAAAGAAGAAATATAGAGGGCAAATTAGGGTTTTCAGAGCGTACTGTGGCTGAAGAAGCAGAAGCAATGCGAGCGGTGTTTGTTACAGCTGAAGCAGAAGGAAGTTAGGGTACGGTTAGAGAAGACCCAATCCAAACATAGAAAGTATCAATGGGGCAAATCCGGATAGCGTGGTCAGTGCCTCAGCGGTGGGAACTCAGAAGCGCGAAATGCAATTTGACTATTTAGCAAGGGTTAAGATGCAAATTATCAAAATCCCTCGAGTAATTTGTTTCTCTTTAAACTAGGAGGTGTTTGACAACTTCTAAACTATAATTTTAGAAACACTTTTCCGTAAAACGAGATAAATTCCTTCACATATTTATTTTGTAAACCGTAAAATACTTTTGAACTATGGTTTGATTTCTATTCAAACACCCTCTTAGTAACATATACAAAAGAATGCAGGAATGGATTCTTTTAAATTTTGAATCTAAAATAATAAAAAAATATAAAATGCACTGTATTATAGATTTCACAGCCGCACAACAGCTTCCCATAACATTTTTAATTTCTAGTTATATTAAACGTAATTGTCAAGAAATTAAATATAATCTTTAATTTATGAGTTTTAAACATTATTTACCCTTTCTATCATGGTTTATGCGTTTAAAACTATTCAAATGATTTGATAATGGTATCAATGAAGAACTTTTTCCTGATCAAAAAATTCAAGGAAGTGGGACAACTAGTGTGTGTGTGTGTGTTCTCTTAATTTACACTTTGTTGTGTTTCATGTATGTATTGTAAAACCAAAAGCAGCAGTTTCTCTGGTCTGCTTTTCACAATGCTCTTTTAAAAAATAATAATAATAATAATAATAAGTATAGATGTCCTCTTACATTCAAAATATGGTTAACTATTGAAGTGGACACATTTTCCTCTAGAAATTTGAATATTAATTTATCAAATTATGAGAAATTAGTCTATTCTATTAGACCCAACTCCCATAGCTTTTCACATTTGATGAGATGACATGCTGCAATTACATCTAATCTAATGTTAGTGAAAAGCATGTATTATCTCTCATATCATTATTATAAAAAGTTAGTTAATTGAATGATTAAATTTTGTTTTAAATATAAGAATTTGATACATTTTTTTTTTCTAAATTTATAATTTTTTTCAAAATATCTCTATTGATTGTAAGATATTTCTACCAAAAAAATAGTTCCAATGTACATTATTAATGAAGGTAATTTTGATAAAACCAATACATATTTGTTGCAAATAGTTAACTTAGCTATTTTTTAAAAAAATTATTCAAATTAATTATTTAGTTCTTATATTAATCTCGAGAGGTAATAATAATTACTGCATCATTACATTGTTGCCTCTACAGAGCAGTGTGGGAGAAAATCCTAGAATGATGTATCAAACATAGGAGGAAGGGTGCTGTTAAAATCATCGCACAAGAGAGAACTTTTGATTATCGGTGAATTGTGATGCATTTTATCAGCAGGAACGCAGCTTCGCACCAAAATGGTAACGAAAAAGAGGCATCATTGGAAGACACAATTACAGGCTTTGCTTTTATATATCTAATATATACACACACATACATCTTCTTTTATGCTCCCTCCATTCATAAAAATTACAAGATTCAAAATGTTAATTAAATTTAGTTGAAAGTGATAAATGTGTCGAATATATTTATATTTATAATTATATTCTTATTTGTAAAAAGAATACATGAAAAATAATGAGTAAAAATTTATTGCATAGATACATTTAAGGAGGATAAAAATAAAAAGACTAGTCTAAAATTTTAGAGAAAAAGGCATCTCATTTTATCTGCAAGTTAAAAAGAAAAAAAATCAGGAGAACACCCACGGAGAAAAATGGGCAGGAAATCGAGATCCCAGAGAGACAGGTCTGATCTTGTAAAGTTTTTAATAATCTTTTAAGAAGTAATATTGTTGATTGATCATCATCGATTTCGAGAAAGGTTGTCTTCTTGCTCTTATATATAAACCTTTCCTAAACCGAACTGTTACTTCCAAATTCGAATTCCATCCAGATACAATACTCTGTGTGTGTGTGTGTGTGTGTGTGTGTGTCTCACTGCGAGTTTTATTATTTTATGCTAAGGATTCTAAAGCTGAAGAGAAAGTAAAAGAAAGGAATATGTTTCACTCAAAAAAAGAAAGGAATATGTTAAGGTTCCAGCAAAAAGACATCTTGCATGCATGCATCTTGTAAATACCAAACTTTTTGACATTCCCAATATGTCCTTTCTTGGCATCGCAGAAAAGAAGACTTGTGGGTCGTCTTCTTCATCCCCACACCAAATTCTTTGCTTCTTTCATTAACCCTACTCCTCCATTTTTCATCACTCTATATATATATATATATATATATCTTCATCTTCATCTTCTGTAATTCATCTGGAAAGCTCCTAAACCTAGAGCTACATCATATACAAACATTAAGATCGTATCAGAAACTCATCAGTAGTTTCTCATTTCCTTCCTCATTATGGGTTTCGTTGGAACAATGGCCAGACATTTGGATACAATTGTAGGGTAAGTATTGTGCTATCATCTTTCATAATAATCCCTTTCTTTTATTGTTTTTACCACAAACAAGCACACATATATAACAGTATTCTACTTTTTGTTTTTCCTTTTGTTGGGTAATTACAGGCCAGGCGTGATGCTTCTTTATCCCTTGTAAGTGATGAAATTGCATATATATAAAATATTTTACTGATTAATTATAATGAGTTTGTATATGAAAATTAATCGAAATAATGAGCAGATATGCATCTATGAGGGCGATCGAGAGTCCTTCAACATTGGACGATCAACAATGGCTAACGTACTGGGTTTGTACTCATTCCTAACCCTCTTTGAGCTTTCGTTCCACAAAGTCCTAGCCTGGTACGTACGCACCCTTAGCTTGCTGTTCCATCTCCAAACTAGTTCATTTAAAGTTGATTGATTGAAATTGGACTTCCAAAAGTTGGAGAATTAAAGATGAAGGGTCATTTTTGTATTAAAAGTACTCACGGATGAGGTATGAATATTTGAAAGTGTTTTTTTTTTTCGCCCTCACTGTTCCCCCAAAAGTATTAAGAAAAAAGCAAGGCTGCCCTTTCTGTTAAAAATTTTAACAGTTAGTGTTAGTTTCTTTTAATAATTAATGTTAGTTTTTTTAACAGAAATGACCATTGCTGTTGAAGTTGATGATATGATATATGTGGATGAACGTACAGGTTTCCACTGTGGTCGCTGGTGAAGTTGCTGATATGCATGTGGCTGGTACTGCCCATGTTCAATGGAGCAGCTTACATATATGAGAATTACGCGAGGAAGTGGCTGAAGAACATGCAAACACTTGGCTTCGCCCCTTCGTCTTCTTCTTCTTCGTCGAAATATCCAGAGGCTCTTCAAATGATGACCTTCGATGCAAGAAAAGCTGTTGAACATTACATCGATACTTATGGCCCTGAGTCCTTCGAGCGAGTCATCAAAGCTGCTGAGAAAGAAGCAAGAAAGCACTGATCTTTATATATATATATATATATATATATATGTATGTATCTTCTGGGTATTGGTTTAGTATATTTTGTGATTTAATTTGTTTGTGTTTCACTGTGAACACTGAGTCTTATTTCAGAATTTGTGGTTCCATTATAACCGCTTCAACTTCAGCCACCTTCCTTAGTTGATATCAAAATCTTATTGGTATATATTCATTTTTCTGATGTGAAATATAGAAAGATGGCAGTTTAATTCTTCTATTATATTTTTGAAACTATGGACAGACTTAAATTACAGGTTAATTAGTTTATTTTCTTAATGCTGTGGGAAAGGGAGGTAATGCTTCGAAATCCAATGAAATTGCTGCAGTTTACAATAAGAGCAGTAGAATGGGGGGAACGTGAGGCAATTTTCACCCTAACACTGTCCCAAACACCAATACTGTCCTCTCAAGGAACCCCTCACCTATCCTCTTCTCACCAATAATAATATTTTATCTGAGATGTAAGTTACGTTATTAGTTATCATTTATCATATTAATATTTCATTATGAAATGACAATTACAATATTCTTTTTTTTTATACAGTTAACAACATGCACACAAACATATTAATGCTAAACTCAGAGCTATATCATCTCAGTGTAGCGGGTGTGACGTTACCGCTAAAATAATTTGCCGTTGATAATTACAATATTCATTAATATTACTCTTAAAATTAAATTTATATTTAAATATTATTTTCAGGCCCAATCGAAACCACTCCTCCAAATATGACTTTTTTTTTAATTCAAAAATACAAAACAATGCCCTTTTACCCGTCTAACCATCATTTGTCTTGTATATATTGATGCTGACTGACGATTTATAGGAATGAATCCACAATAATGAGAAAATTGTAGTATGTGGATCTAAAAACAGAAAATTTACGTTTAAACTTATTAAATCTAGATGAAATATTGGAGAAGCAAAATCACTCCGCATCTAGAAACGATAAATTCAACAAAAGATTGAGGAAAAGAGATGATAAATATAAAAATAAATAAAAAATCATGAATGCATAAATAAAAATAGAATCATTCTCAAACACATCTTTTTCTATATCTTTTTATCTCTAAATACATAAATGTGTAAGGTACAAAAATACAAATTTTGGGAGCCTAAAAAAATGCAACAAACAAGAGAGAGAAGAGAACTAGCAGCATTGGCCTGAGAAACGAACGAGATTCTTTTCTTTCTATTTTCGCAAGGCACTTCCGTACTTGTTAGGAGAAAGATCCTGAAAACAAGTTTCTAATTTCTTCAAAGGGATAATTAATCTGCAAATCCTTATAGTTTCAATGAATTTTGAATTAGGTCCTTATAGTTTTTTTTCTTTTTATCAGGTCCTTATACTTTCACCTGTTTTTAATTAGGTCCTTGTATTTATTTATTTTTTTATCAAGTCCTTATAAGTTCACCTTATTTTTAACTAAGTCCCTGAATTTTTTATTCTTTATTTTATAAATTCTAATAGTACTATTATATAAACATAAAATAGTATATATTATTTAATATTAGTTTATAAAAAATAATATTCTAAAGATAATGAATTATTATAATGATTTTAATTTTTTCAGCAAAAAAATTAATTGTTCTAAAAAATTTTCCTGAA